CCCACGACTGTGTTGCTTATTCCCGGACTAACTGACTACGGAATATTACAGTATTAAGAAGGTGACACGCAATCAAGGGCGAGGGTAATCAAGCGTAGGTTAAGGTGAATCTTGTCTGTCTTTTTCGTGCAACACGCTCGTACCAATTCTTTCCAGATAAACATTTAATTGGCCCCTACTGGATCGTGCTAAAGAAAACACCGTTAAGTGAGGCGAGAATTTCAAAAGCTGTCGAAGCGCATTGAGAATGTGGGAGATCGACGGCTCAAGAAACTGGACGCTCGTTTTGCATCAGCCGCTAGTCCTGTGACCTGACCTGACCTGACCTGACAAAATCCGTCCTTGGACTCAGGGAGCTCCCCTACCCAACGCGGCTCCAACAACTGGGCCTTTATCCGCTAGAAATCAGACGCATCCGACGAGACCTATTTCTCCTCTACCATCTCTTCGACACGGGCAGTGTNGGGCAGTGTCGAAACCTTTTTTGTCATTGCTGACTCTCAGCCTACCCGAGGTCACAGCAAAAAATCTTCAAGCCCCGTCCAAGAACCACTCTACGTACCTCATTTTTTACCTTCAGGGTGATATCCTTATATCCTTGTATCCGTATATTAGTTCATGTAAGTTTCCTCTTTCTCTCTGTTTGCAGATAGGCGAAGAAACCGATCGTTTGAAGAGGTGGATGCACACTCGTGAGCACACCACCGAAGGAATTCTCGACGCTTGATTGGCCTGTGGCCACTACCAGTCCTGTACAACCTGACCCGACCTGTCTTAACCTGAATAACCTTCCTGAAGAGATAGTCAGCGCCCGCAGCAAGGCGGTCTTCAAACTTCGTCTTGACCGCCACTTAGGTTTATCTACTCCTCCCCAATAAAAAAACATTTTGAATTATATAAGAGTTTGCAAGTCTTCATTTTATTTCTCGCCTCGAGCGGGGAACCCTACTAATCCCTTTTCAGTACACTCTGTTCCAGGAGTAATTCAAACCAAAAGAAAACACAGATACCTTTGAAGGACCCGGGACATTTGGGTAACAGCCTCGAACCCGTGAATCACTTCAAGACTTCAAGACCTGAAGGGGGCTTACTACCGGAGGAAATCTGGATGCTCGATTGGCCGTGGCCATCATCTGGTGCCCTGTGCAAGCTGACTGACTGACTGACTGACTGAACTGATTTCAAGGTCGACTGCCCACGCGCTAAGTCCACGCTACGTTTGGTGGATTCCGACGATGGCCGCGGTTGATGATGAGGTCACAACCAATGGTTTTGAATACGATAGCGAAACCGCTAGTTTAGATGAAGACGATAAGAAACACATTGAAGATGCAATAAAGACACATATTCGTTCGGTGGTTGAACTCAGAAAAGAGGAATTCGAACTGCCCGAAACTGTCAGTTTAATAGAATGTCCAGATGGATCGAAAGTGTACCTTGTGGGTACTGCCCATTTCAGCAAAGAAAGCATTGATGATGTGGTGAATGTATGTGCTTATGCTCCTAATGAAAACTGTTAGAAAAACTTTTCAGGTTATGTCAAAGACTCATCCAGACTTCGTAGTGGTAGAGCTCTGTGCCAATCGCTCACACGTCTTAACGATGGATGAAGAGAAAATTAAGCAAGAAATAAAATCGCTTAACCTTTTGAGCGTAGTAAGAGCGGTAAGTGGTGAGATTTATTCATGTATGCATAAATATACATGAATACATGAGNATGATAGCACTGAAAAACCCACGTAGAAAGCATAAAAAGCGCAACTGTTTGGGATGAAAACCATTAACAAGGTAGCATTAACTCGACAAAATCCGGGTATTTTATTTTGCTTGATCCCACAAAAGCAGTACTTAAATCGTATGCTGAAGGCTCGATCACGTATATCTGTTACATGCAAATTCGCTTCGGACCCGGGTCACTTCGGAGCTTGCCTTCTCCGATTTTCACACGCTAATGGCAAATTGCTTAATATTACCTTCACTTAGTTACATCGAATGAATAAATTCAGTGCACAAACTAAGGCTGTGATGGGCACCAAGAACAATGGTTGATTATTTTGCTTTATGAAAAGTAAGGTGTTAGCGACTGGTTCAAGTGACAGGCAATTTATCGATGTTTGTGAATGGTTCTCTTCATGATGCGAATAACATCTCAACTGCATCCTTCGTGGTATTACTTTAAGGACGTCATTATGTCATGGTTATGTGTACTACTTACGAAGTCGCATACAGTTTGTGTTCCTGCGTTCTTCCAGGTAAGTTAACTGAATTGTCTATACTTATACCAGTCTGACCGGACATCTCCGACGTTGCGACGACGTGTTGCTTTCGGCACGCAGTAGATGTAACATGCGTATGACCGTCATTAGAACCAAGATTTTTCCGTTGGTTTCAACTACAACAAAATACGGTCTAGCTTTTTGCTGGTCTTACGATTGGTCTTATCTTAATCAGGTTCTGTTCCCAGAGCTGAGGTTTTAGAATCATCCTATCCAGCGTGCATCAACAATGACATTCATTTAATTATAATTGTCGTTGTATCGATGCAGGTGTTTGCTTTAGTTCAGTCATGTCCAAATCCACGCATTCCACTCGTGTAGTAAAGGAAGTATGTCAGGTTATTTTGGACTTACCCGGACGCAATAGTTCATCGATTAATACTGATTGGTTTGCTTTTTGACCATCATAATCGACGAATATGGAGTACTATATACTCACCCAAATTTAGTTCGGATTGGTAGTATCTGTCGAAACACGTGCTACTGAGATTTCTTTTCTGTGACAAATCCTCCACAAAGTAGATGGATAGACTCATTAGTGTTAGCAGGTTAGGTTAAGGCATCCTGTTAAAGAAAGGCCAAGTTATTGAAATGGTTCACTTACTAATAACTGGTCCTCGGACTCTGAAGATTACCCAGTGGTTTCTTCGGATGGTAGGTGTACTTAGGTGATATCGAGTAAACAATTTTATATTGTTTGCAGACTGGAATGCCCATTTCGAAGTAGAGCTTACGAATGGGTGCTCTGGAACACGAGTATTACATGGAGAGCACACATTTTTCGCTTTAGCACCTGACTCAGCGGTGCCGCGGCATCTGAAGAAGCAACTTCTTCAGTTCACAAAAACACTTCGTACTGAAGGCTTTCTCCACGTTATCTGTTGTGGAAAACAAAAAAGTGGTGGTGGCGCAGTAGTTTAATCGCTATCACCGGCTTGCTTTGGACCCTATGGTTCGAGGCTTGAGCTCAGTCACTGCTACCTAAATTTTGCGGTAGGCGGCTGTGCTGTACTGTTCAACACCACGCCTAATCTAGCGGGGCCTTATGTGGTTCGCCCCTCCTAGTCCTGCGGCTTGCTGGTTTCCGTGACTGAACAACAAGTCTTCGTGATTATCTGATTTTCCCAATCTGCTGTTCATCACAACGCAACGTCCTAACCAGAGTTTTAGGTAATGGTGGTCGCCCACTGGAGCAAATGGTCGACCNGGTCGACCTTCATAGATTATGTTGGTTGTGATATGTGTTAGGCATGTCACCAGATGGGTTACCACGGCGAGCGATGTTCGTCGAGTTCGCCGAGTGGAAAAAAGCCAAAAGTGGTCAGACTAAGACCTAGCACAAGGGTATGAAAACCCTAACCAGGGGACTGAGTCACAGGTCCCATTAGGCTTCCGAGCTACGGACCTCGGGATGGTCGTAACCGATGGTTAGAGACACTGAGTGATATGAGGGTCGTAAACAGTGGCGTCCGTGCATCTCAATTTCTTTACAAGCTTCGACCATTGAAACTCCATTTTATATTCCACTCTACTTTCAACTTGTCTTTCTCCTAATGTTCATCGAATTGGGCGGTCAAAAGACAGCAACCTAAAGCGGTGCAAGGAAGTACATGGTAAATGGCTGTTCGAACTGAACTGAACTGAACTGCTGCTCATCACACTCAAAGTATAATAAAAAAATTAGCGCAACTACAGAATTTCCCTGTTTGACGTGGAATCCAAATTGCGTAAATTTGGGAGGTCGGTGGCATATCTTCAGTTTGAAGCGTACTCCTTAAAGTCTTTTTAGAAAGCATCCTTCGGCCATTCGATTTCTTCAGGACTAAGAAACCAGTTACGGAGGGTAGTGGCAACCGATTGATCTTCCAATACGATCACGAGATACACCTGAAAGGTGAATCATAACCGCTTATTTGTGTGAACAGCGATGAAGGAACATAATAGAATTCATGTATATCTTTGATGTTTATTCGAAACATCGTTACATCACATGTTGAATGTTTTTTTCCATAGTACCCCGTCTGTTCTGTTACAGTCCATCGTGTCACCGATATCCCTATGTTATACAGAAGAAAACTATGGTTAAGAAATTGTAGTACCCTCATTAGGACAATGTGCGCCTTGCTGGGTAGAGCAGCCAACCGTGTCACGTATTCCTACAGAAAGCATGAACACGATGTGCAACACCAATCCGGTTTCGCGTGGCAAAAGACTTGCACTGTAATTTGTCCTTCGAAACCAATAGTATTTGTCTTTCGGCTGTGTGCATGTTAAAGGCATACGTCCGTAGATGAAATAACTCTGACGCATATCTTTGAATGTATAAACAACCTGACTTGAAACCAAATACTGAGGCTAGTTCGTCATCCACAACAATGGCGTAATTCGATCTACCCTTTGTGGGAGCCTCCGAAAGCTTCAATAATGTCGGGGTTGGGTGTATTGGGTTGTCGCTGGCCATCCTTTGCGTCTCACGAAATGCTCCCATAAGACCAAGCGTCTCAAATAGCCTCTACTGAGGAAGCCCTACTCACTGCCTTCTCGTGACGGGTGTTTTCCCCGCCAAAGTGAGAAAACGAATAGTCGAAATCTGGGGCTTTTTCTGGTTGATGGACCAGTGGCATTTCACCCAAGGGAGTGATTCCAAACCAACTAAGACGAGGTGTAGGAACCACCCTTACCCACACCTTGGTTGTGACAGAAGTCACTAGCACGATTGGGCATCGAGGTGTATTGGGCACCTTAGATGTTTGACCGCGTCCGAAGGGCGTACGATCCAATGAACTGGACACCAGCCCCCTATGGATTGCGGTTCTCCCACTTACGTGATCGAGCCTTTGACGTGCAATCTAAATTTTTCGCGATCAAGCAGAATAATAGGTCCAAAAGTATGTTAAATTGGTGCTATCTGGCGACGTTTTTCACTTCAGGCAGGTGCGTTTATCATTCTTTCTACGTGGGTTTTTCCATGCTTCTTGCTCAATGTTCTGTACGTGGCCCGGTTTGAATGGTCGACCATGTAATCTCAAGGTTTGAAATTTTATTTGCATGCATCTCTTATCGTAATTCTGTTTTGCCATATCTCGCACACCCGCTTTTTAAATGGTAACTTTCCACAGCATTACATCGTCAAATTCGATTGTTTTGCAAATCCACCAATGTGGTGCAAAATGATGAAAATTCCCCCACCCGGGATCATGAAGCTACTTCTGACTACACTAAACTTGCGAATTTCGCGACTTCCTGTATCGTAACTGTGATTCCTTTCTTTCATTGCCCAGTTTACAGGTTGATGAAGTCTAGCTTGTTTCTTGGTTTCTCTCTTAGAAACAATTAATGTACGGATGTAGTTCCATTAAGTTTCTATTCGATCTCTTTAAAATTATTCCCACTGATGGCTGGAGATTTTATTTTATTTTTATATTTTTCTTATTACACACCCAATTGTGATGAACAGTAGACGGAGCGAACCCCA